ACCCCGGCCCCCACCCCGGCCGGCCACCGTCAGGACCGGCGCTGCCGGGAGCAGCGGTCTCGACGCCTCGGTAGACCGGCTCCCTCCTTCCCGCGCGCCCGGCCAACCCCTCAGGACCCCGGGGAGGCTCCGCCGCGGCCCTCGGGGGTCACCTCCCGGGCGGGGCGGGCCGCCGTGCCCACCTTGCTGGCTCTCGGCGCGGGCCAGCTCCTGCGTGATGACCAGGTCCATGGCGCCCGGCCCGTCCGCCCCTCCGGGCCCGCGGTGCCCCCTGCCGCCCAGGGCCGGTTGGGTTCCGCGCGCCCGCCGGCCCCGGTTGCCTGGAGACCGAACAGGACGCGGACGGCGGCCTACGGGTCGGCGGCGGGGCCACACTTGTCGGAAGGCGAACGGCGCCCGCGCCCGCCCGCGGCCCCGCCAGCGTCCCGGGAGCGAGGACTCGGGGGGCGACTCCTGCGGATCCGGGGCGGTGTGGGGCGCCGAGGGGTCCGCGCGGGCCGTGCTCGCCCAGCTCCGGGCTCCTGTGTGCCGGGTTCTGGTCCCGGCCGCGGGTCACCCCCCGCCCACCCGGGGAACGTCTTCCTGCGTCCCCCGCGCCTGCTCTCGGCCGCTCATTCATTCGTTCGTTCGTTCGTTCATTCATTCCGTCATCCCCTTCACGAGTGGTGATTTGCCCCTGCCGTGCGCCTGGAAGGGGAAATGCGGGCCTGCGGACGGGAGGGGCCGCCGGGGTTGGGCGCGAGCTGAGACCTGGCGGCGGCGGGGGCAAAGCGGGGGAGCAGACGCAGGGCCGCGGCCTCCCAGGGAGCGGGAAGCCGCGGGTTGTCCCGGCGGCGCCTACGACCCGAATTGGAGACTTGGCCGATGAAGGACTTGGGTCATGGCGGGGGGCAGTGCCCGCGACTCACCCGGCGACGGGCACGCTCGGGGAGCTCTAGGGAAAGCCCATGTGGGGGAGGAGGACCCCCAAGGAGAAGCCCATCTGGGAGAGGCCCACCCGGGGGCGACCCCCTGGGAAAGGACCACCTGGGAAAGGACCCCCTGGGGGAGGACCCCCCGGGAGAGGACCACCTGGGGAGAGGACCACCCGGGGAGAGGCTCCCCCGGGAGAGGACCCCCCGGGAGAGGGTGCCCCTGGGAAAGGACCCCCCGGGAGAGAACCGCCCGGGAGAGGACCCCCCGGGAGAGGACCCCCCGGGAGAGGGTGCCCCTGGGAAAGGACCCCCCGGGAGAGAACCGCCCGGGAGAGGACCCCCCGGGAGAGGACCACCCGGGAGAGGACCACCCGGGAGAGGATCCCCCGGGAGAGGGCCCCCCTGGGAAAGGAACCCCTGGGAGAGGACCCCCCGGGAGAGGCCCTGGGAGACCAGGTTGTGTCAGGAGTATGGCGCCCACAGAGGTTTGAGATCCAAGTCCGGGGGGGTGGGAGTGTGGAGGGGGGTGCGGGGCGTACTCGGCTGCCTGGAGGTGTGCAAATGCCGGGAGTCAGGGCAGGCTGGGGGCCCAGGGCACAGGACCTGTGAGGGGCACAGCGTGAGAGGGGAAGGGGAGCCGGGCGGGGGTGCCGGGGGCGGGGGCAGCAGGTCCCTGTAGCCCCATTCGCGAGCCAAGCGCCTCCGCGGCTGGCCTTGGCCTGGAGGCCCCGGGGTGCAGGGCCTGGCTTCTCCGGCTCGGTGGGTCTGGGAGAGAGGCCGGGAAGGTGGCGGCCTGGCACTGCAGGCCCAGGACGTCAGGCCGGGAGGGGAGAGGACGGGTGAGGCACGGGGGGAGGGGAGGGGTCGTCCTCTGGGGCCGGGCACGGAGGTGCAGGGAGGGCGAAGGACGAGGCCAAGCCGAGGCCGCGTGGCGGGGGAGCCGGCCCAGGGGGCCTCGGAGCCGTTTCCGGGGAGGGCCGTGGGGTCCCGTGGGGCCCTCGGGGTGTGGGGGCTGCTCCGGGCCCCGCACCTTCCCCCTTTCTTCCTCCTGACGGTTTTGGGCGCAGGGCGACCCTGCTCCCACCTCGCTGGCAGCCAGGTGTGGCCGCATGACCGGGGGGCAGAGGGAGCGAGGCGGTGTTGGGGGGTGTTTTCCAAGGGAGGGCGGCCCCCCTCTGTGGTGCTTCCTTTTTTCTGATGGTGGAAACGTGGCCTCCAAAAAAGGGGGCGTAAGCAGCCGTTCTGTGCCAGGTGGTGGAACCGCCCCAGGCTCGAGGCAGGAGCTGGGGTCCCCGCCTGGGGCAGCTGCTGGGTCCCAAGCCGTCTCCTGTGAGAAAGAACAAAAATGTATCTTGTCAAAGCTGCGCGGCTTTCTCAGGGTGGGTGGGAGTGCAGTCCCCAGGGGAGTCTGCTATGGGGGTGCCCTGTTCCTGCCCCAGGTGGGAGGGGGTGGGTTATTGACAAGCATTCCAAGTTTTCTTAGATGCATTTTTTAAAGCCAAAGCATGCTGTAATGCACGTACGCAGATAGACATGTAAAATATGATCACCGCGTGACAGACACGCACACCTACCTTGGCTCAAATAGGCTGCCTCGCCACAGCTCTGACACCTGAGCGTCAGCTGTTCCTCCCGGAGCCCCACTGCGTCCGGAGCTGGCAGCCTCGGATCCCTGCCAAATGGCCACATTCCTTCCCGGACTCCGTTCTCAAATGGGCCTCTGTTGGTAAGGAGACTCCACACATGTGTACAGCCTTGATAAAATATTCATTCCCGCAGAGAACATATCTCTCAAACATAATGTAGTAAGAGCTTTTCCAAATCCAAGGAGATTAAATATTAAAACTCAGTTTTCTAGTTATACATTAGCCTTGAATACCAAGAGGGCAACACAAAATTCTCACAGAACTCAGGAAAAGGAGACCAGAAAGGCCCCAGATGGGCAGCCAGGCAGACAAGGGCACAGGACCGGGTCCGAAAGGGTCCCCAGTGCAGGAGTTTCTGTCCCCGTGGAGTGGGGGGCACCCCCTCCTGGCACGTGGATGTGTTTGGCAACCCAGAACTGCTCCTGATGGTCCTTCAGGGATTCTTATGGGCCCAACGGATGCTGGTGGGTGGTCCTGGAGGAGGGGGGGGCAGGGCTGAGAGCTGCTGGTGCTAATCCTGGCTGGTCTAGCTGGTGACCAGCCCCCCTGCAGGAGCCACCAAGCCTCACCTCATTTGAACAAAAGCTGCTGCTGCCATCACCCAGGAAATTCAGAGGGTTTTTGGAGCCCTGTGCCCGGTCTCAGGAGAAGAGACCAGATCTATTCCTCTCTCATTTCGCAGCCCTATCTTGCCAGGTAGAGATGGTGTCTGTGTCTGGGTTCCCAGGTTGGCCCCCAGAGGCCTGCTTCTGTTGTCATAACGGGGCGCTTGCACGGGCAGCTTAAACAGCGAGAAAGGAGGCGTGAAGGCTGAGATCGAGGTGCTGCCGGAGCTGGTTCCTCTGAGGCCACCCTGCATGGCCGAGTGTGGCCGTCTTCCCCTGCCCCTCGTGGCTGGGTGTGGCCGTCTTCCCCTGCCCCTCGTGGCTGGGTGTGGCCGTCTTCCCCTGCCCCTCGTGGCTGGGTGTGGCCGTCTTCCCCTGCCCTGCATGGCCAGGTGTGCTCATCTTGTCTGTGTCTTCATGTCCAAATGTACCTGATTTATATGGACCCCAGCTGTGGGGTTTAGGGCCCACCCTGGGACCTCACTTTAAACGGTCACCTCTGTGAAGATCCTGTCTCCAAATAAGGCCCCATTCTGAGGTTGTGGGACAAGGACTCTGGCATAAAAGTTTCAGGGGGACACAATTCCACCCATGCCACTTGCTTAACCAGAAGTTGGTGAGAATTCTGAATATTTGTAATTTCACCAGGTGAAAGCCCGGAAGATGATTGAATTGTTCTTTAAAACATCTCGGAATATATTTAAATGAGCAGAACAGAAGTTAAAGACACAGCTTCTTCCAGCGCAGGTGGGGCCAGTAATTAAACCCCTCGGGGGTGGATGCACTTGAAAGAGAACTTAGTTGAAATTGACCTGGAATCCCAGCTCCTGGGGACAGGCAAGCAGAAGCCGGGGGCAGGCAGCATGTGGGGAGCTGTGGGGTCCTGGCTCTCCCCAGCTGCACTCAGAAGAGTGAGGTGCCGCCTCCCCTAGAGGAGCTGGAGAAGTGGGGGCGGGTGGAGGCGGGGAGGCACCGAGGGTCCCTGGTACAGGGCACTGGCAGCAGGCTCTCCGGGGAAAAACTAAAAGGAAGTCCCCTGTTAGGAGCGTTTGCACATCCTCCCACCACAGCTGTTTAAACCACAAGGGTCAACCCCAGCTCCCAAAGCTGCACACCTCACAAATGGCCAGGTGGAGCCCAGCCCTGGCTTGGTGGCCCCTCCAGAAAGGCAGAGTCTTGGGGCAGTTTAAGCTGCACCCCATTATGACAAACTCAGCTGGCAGCGGACCCGCGCTGCTGCCCCAGGGGCCTGTGTGTCTTCCCTCTGCCCGGCTGGCATCTGGCCCGGCAGTGCTTGCTGGCTTTGGCTTCACTTTGGAGCCTGCAGGTGCCGGCACGGCTACTTCCCTCATGGCTTGAGAACCCAAACGTGGAGTCCGGGAAAGGGGGCTGGGCTGGAACCCCCACGTGTCAGGGACCACGGAGCCTGCAGGAGAATGTGGGCCCAGGGAACGGGGAAGAGCTGTTCCCCAATTTGGGAGAGGCCCCAGGCCACCTCAGTGTGTTGGGCCACACAGCAGTGTAGGCCACAGAATGGCCACCCAGCCACAGTCGGCAGAACCCCAGAGCCCACTAGGGGAGGGCGTGGTGGGTGCACATGTGTGAGTGTGTGTCAGCAGGAGGGGTGGGTGTGAACTGATTGTGTGCTGTGTCAGTGTCAGCATGTGCCATGTATACACAAGAGTGCCTGTGTGTAGCATGTGGCATGTAAGCATGGTCCTGTGTGACCCTGTGTGTGCATGTGTGTGCACGTGTGGCCCTCCCCTGGGGAGGCACAGGGGAACTGATCTCAAATCCACGGACATCACCGACCACTTGCGCAGGGCCCGGCTCTGGGGGTCGGCAGAGCACAAAAGAGGCAGAAAGCGCTGCCCCAGGGGACCAAGACCACACCGTGGGGTCCAGCAGCTGGGAGGGGGGCCTGATGTTTTCAGGGAAAGCAGCTTCACCCCACAGGGAAGATTAAAAGAGGGGCTCCCCACCTCCTCAGGCACCTTTCCAAAGGGACAGCCCCTGAACGTGGAGCATATCAGCAACCCGGCAGCTGAGTTCTCGCAGTTTCCAGAGTGATACCTGAGGGCAGTGTGCACATGCCCTAAAAAGACAGGGGGAGAACACCTGCTGTCATTCCCAACAGCCCTGTATCCAGCACCCCAGGATCCACAGCACCCCAGCATTTCAGCACCCCAGCATTCCCACCATCCCTAGCATCCCAGCACGCCAGCATGTCAGCATCTCCGCCATCACCATAATCCCCGAAACTCCAGCGTCCTAGCCTCTCAACACCCCAGCACCCCAGCACCCCAACATCCCAGCATCCCATGACCCCCAGCACCCCAGCACCCCAGCGTTGCTGCATCCCAGCACCCAACTTGGGGTCACAGATTTTTATCTGATGAATCTGCAGCTCTTAATTAATGCTTACCTGCCTTCCCTCTGCGTTCCGAAGACTCTGTGCACAGGTGCTGTGTACATTACATCCCTTTCCGGCTGAGGAATGGCAGTTACATCGTACAGCGTCATGAGCTAACCATCCACCCATTCACCTGGAGATAGTTTGGAAGCCTCGCTGCGTCGTTAGAGCAGAGCCTCGTTCTGAACTCCGGGCCCGGCGGGCCCCACACCACCGCTGAGGCTGCTGCAGCTCAGGGTGGCTTTGACATCCGTGGTGGCACTCTCTTCTCTGAGGCCTTGCTGTTCAACGTTTTGCAAGACTGTATTTGCATGTTTATTTTTATGTAAATGCTGAAACATCTGGTCTAGTTTAAAAAATAAACACAAACCACAAAGCCAAAAGCACACTGCTGGCATTTTCTCTGGCACAGGTTGATTTAAAGAGAACTGGCGTCCGTGAGGCCGTGTGTCTCCCCCAGCTGCAAGGGGCTCTCTCAGTCACTTGCGTTCAGTGTGCGTCTGTTGGTAAAGAATCTGTGCCTTGATATTGATAAGGAAGGTGATTCGGTGATTTCTTTTCAAACAAAGAAAGAATGTGGAATTGATCTTCACTTCCATGCTCCTGAACGTGTTCACAGCATTGTAATTACATGTTCCTTAAAGGTTTGCCAGAACTTGTAAGCTGGACTTTTCTTTCTCATCTGGAGCAAGTGTGTGTGTGTGTGTGTGTGTGTGTGTGTGTGTACGTTTCTTTGCGTGTGCACTTGCTGCCTGTATGTGTATTGCACATGTGTGTATGTGAATATGTGAGCATGTATATGTGTGTGCATAAGCATATATACGGTGTATTCATGTAAATGTTTATGTGTGCATGCATATATGTGTGTAAGCACATGCATGAGTGTGTTGTGTGGTTGTATATGTGCACATGTGTGTAAGTGATGCGCTATGTGTATTCAGGTGGATGTACGTGCATGTGTGTTTGCCCGTGTGTGTGTGTAAGCATAGGTATGCATACGTGTTCATGTGGAGGTGGATGTATATGTGTACTGTGTAGGTGTGTATGTATGTCCATGTGTGCTTGTGTATACGTGCACGAGTGTATGTGTGCATGTGCGTGCATGTAAGCACACGTGTGTGTTTATTTGGGTGTGTTATATGTGTTTGTGCTTGTGTACATATGTGTAATCACATGCATGTGTTGTGTATGTGCAGGTCTGTGTGCATGTGTACATATCTGTAAGCATGTGCATGTGTGTATATGTGCAGGTCTGTATTTGTGTATGTGTACATATGTGTAAGCACGTGTGTGTGTTTATTTGGGTGTACATGTGTTTGTGCATGTGTACATGTGTGTCAGCACATGCATGTGTGTATTTGGGTATGCATATGTGTTTGTGCTTGTGTACATATGTGTAATCACATGCATGTGTTGTATATGCGCAGGTCGGTGTGCATGCATTCATATGTGTAAGCACATGCATGTGTGTATATGAGGTCTGTGCATGTGTACATGTGTGTAAGCACATGCCTGTGTGTGTTTATTTGGGTGTACATGTGTACATACATGTCAGCACATGCATGTATATGTTTGGGTGTGTGTGTTTGTGCATGTGTACATACGTGTCAGCACATGCAGGTATGTATTTGGGTGTGCATGTTTGTGCATGTACACATATGTGTGAGCACATGCATGCATGTGTTTGGGTGTGGGTGTTTATGCATGTGTACATATGTGTGAGCACATGCATGTGTGTGAGTGTGCGTGTGTTTGTGCCTGTGTACATATGTATGAGCACATGCATGTGTGTGTTTATTTGGGTGTGCATGTTTGTGCATGTGTACATATGTGTAAGCACATGCATGTGTGTGTTTATTTTGTTGTGCATATGTGTTTGTGCATGTGTACATACGTGTCAGCACATGCATGCGTGTGTATATGTGCAGGTCTGTGAAGGGATCCAGATCACACTTTGTGGCGTTAGGATCATTTCAAGCCAACAGCATTTGGGAATCCACTGTGCAGGAGGGGACTTTCTCCACAGCAGCCTTATCTGCCTGAAAGCAGAATCTTCCAGAAGGACTCGGCCATCACAGCCCCTTGAAAGGAGGCTTCTGGTACCAGGAGACCGAGCATGTGCAGGCACCGGAGATGGGACGTCGGCACAGGGATGAGAAATCGCACGCACAGACCTTCCCCAAGCGGACCTTGCCCTCCGCCAGCTTCCTGTGTCTTCCTCGCTCACCTGCCCGGCGTGCTGGCCCTCGGGGTCCTGCCCCCCCGCTTGATAAGATGGTTTCTCAGCCCCACATTCTAGCTGCTGCTTTGAGTCATTCTTCCTGAGTGTGTGTGCGAATCAACGTTCTCTAGGCCGTCTTTTGTTTAATTTGCAGGTCCCAGCAGAGAGCCTAAGAAGACAGGGAACAATTTTAACCTGTAGTCAGGCGTACTGTGCGGTCGCTGGGCGTCGCCTGGCTGCGTGTGTGCTTTGGAATTCGAGGCTTGCTCTGGGCGTAGATATGAGAAGTCCACTTGTGGGATTGTTCTGTGGGCACTTGAAAGGCGTTCGATGCCCGTTGGTTAGAACTGTGTTACTGATGACACCCTGTGGGCCTCTGATATGCCCGCCTGGCTCTGCCCGCCGTGGGCCTCTGATATGCCCGCCTGGCTCTGCCCGCACACCCTCTGGCTCTGTCGCTCTGAGCGGATGCCAGTTCCATGTCCTTTGGAGCACAGAAGTTTGCTGGGGCTTCTCCGAGGGTCGTGACCTTTGCCACCACAAGTGCCCATCTGTCTTGATCAGTGCTTGTTTCCTGGAAGCCAGCGTCGGTGACGAAGATCGCAGACCCGCCTTTTCCCTCCTCCTTTACTGCTTCCTTTATTTTGGTACAGTTTACATGCAGCAAAACGCACAGGTGGTAAGCGTTGCGTTTCCCTGAGTTTTGAAAGTATGCACACATGGTCACCCACACCCTCAGGATGGACACCACCCTGTCACCCCACGGAGGCCCCTGTGCCCCTACCAGTCGGCCCCACCCTGCCCTGGGGCACCTCTGCTCTGACCTCAGCCACCGCAGACCACTGCTGCCTGCTGTGGAACCTCCTGTAACCCAGAGCGCCGGGCTTTGCTGGAGCATCTGCTCAGCGTGGCAAGTGCTCTTCTGACCAGATCGTGGAATTCAGATGGGACGAAGGCAGCCCCTCTGGGCTCAGCGGCCGTGACCCTGCAGCATGAGGACTCCAAACCACACTCTTTTCCACCCTTGGGGGGGTGCAGCCTGATGTGCAGAGCCTTCCAGGAACACCCCTTCCTGGCGCTGGCACCGCTGAGACGTGAGTGGCAACACGGTTTTGCTTCAGTCAGAGGAAAAAGTCTCTAAGTGTGGAAGTTAGACACCACTCAGAGGGGGCTGGATATTTTATTTAGAATAGACAATTGCCAATGTCCTGAAATCCCACAGATAGGGGTCACACTCCCTGTTCTTTCTCCTCCCTCCCAGCTAAGGTGTGCAGAGAGAGAGGGCGGCGTGCAGGAAGGGGTGCAGGTGCGGCGGGGTGGGAGGAGCCTGCCCTCTACCATGCAGGCCCTGGAGAGCCGAAAAACCTGGGAGGCCCGTGGAGGAAGGAAGGGTGCGTCCTCTTGACATGGCTGCGGGTGCCCTGCTGGGAAGTGAGGACCCGCAGGCCTGTCTTCAGCGGAGGTCCCACCCAGAGCCTTCCTGGTTTATCCCGTCACTGGGCCGTCTCAAGTCCATCCTGCCCCTGCGGATTGTCCTGAAAAGCTGCATTGACTCCTGGCTTTCACATCATTAGCGTAGAGTTGTGCAAAACATTATCTGCGGACCCGAGGACGGGTGCTGTAACTCCTCTGTCCGTCTGTGGTCGGTCTCACCTTCCCAGTCCTAACTTTGGGCACTGACTTTTTCTTTGATTTTTCTTGCTTTAATTACCAGGTGCTTTAACAGTTTCATGGTGGTCATTTTTTTTTTCTTTTTAAAGAGGTCTGAGAAAATAGTGAACCAGCAGGTGTGGTGGGTTCCACCCCAAACCCCAGACCCCTGGGGACACTGGTCAGAGCAGGCGCGGGGTGCGTGGTGAGCAGGGGAGGCGGGCGCCACGTGAGGACGCGTTTCTTCTTCCGCACTCGCCTCTGGCTGGTCACCGCTAACGCTGTTTCAGAGTCAAACTCTGAAAAATATTTGAAGAGGTTTATTCTGAGCCACATATGAATGACCACGGCCTGTGACACAGCCCCAGGGGACCCCGAGAGGATGCACCCTAAGTGGTTGGGGCACAGCCTGGCTTTGTAGATTGCAGGGAGATTCGAGCCCCCGTCAGTTCAGGTGAGATGTGCACATCAATGAGAAGGGGAAGGGGCTTCCAGGTCACAGGCAGATTCAAAGATTTTCTGATTGGCAATTGGTTGAAAGAGTTATTATCAATAGAAAGGACTGTCTGGGTTAAGATGAGGGTTGTGGAGGCTAAGGTTTTATCAGCAGATGAGGCCTCCAGGTAGCAGGCTTCAGAGAGAATAGACGGTAAACGTTTCTTATCCGAGTTAAAGAGTCTGTTCTATCAGTAATACACAAGGGCGGAGGGAGAAGGAGGCACACCCCGCTCCCATAGTGGCCTGAACTAGGTGTTCAGGTTGACCTTGGAATGCCCTTAGCTGAGAGGAGGGGTCCGTTCAGATGTGGGGGGCTTAGAATTTCATTTTTGACTTACAATAAGACAACACAAGTAGACAGTTAAAACACAACTGGAAGCTAACAGCCCTACTCACGGAATAAAACGCCTGTGTGTTAAACAACTCTTGGGTTCAAGAATAACCCAAAACTTAAATAAACTAAACAGAGTACCTCAAAAAATAGCAAGAAGGAAAGTTGTTGCTTATCAGTGTCAGAGGCAGGGCTCAGAGGAGAAGTCCCTGGTTTATAGCCCATGCATCTAACTCAAACATCCAACACAGGTTTTATAAGAGAATGGCACTGTTCTAAAAAACAGAGGAAGGGAGGCATTAACAAGATAAAATGGAAGATAATGAGAAAACAGAAGAACCAAAGCACCAATAAATAAATCCAGCCTCAATCAGACTGTCACTAATTAAGAAAAATGGAGAAAGTGCAAATCGTAAAATAACACGTGGAAAAGGAGACATCACACACGTTTAAAATGAAGAATCCCCGGGCAGCACTTTGCTGTTATGGATTTTACCTTTTCCAGGAAAACATAAGTATGAAAGCTCCCCCTAAAAGAGAGGAAATCTCTCAAAGGACCAATGACCACAGAAGAAATAGAGAAAACTCCTAAGAATGACCCACCCCCGCCCAGAAAATCAGGCCAGACAGTTTCACAGGGAAAACGCGCAGCATCTTGATGGAGATGGCAGCTCTGTTGCTTTTGAAAAGATTCCGGAGCACAGGAAAAGACGGAAGTCTCAACATTAATCTTCAAGGGTAAAATAATGTTGACATTCAATTTTGATGAAGGTGGCACAAAAAATGAAAGCGACAAGCCAATCTTGCCTGTGAATGTCAATGTAGAAATCTTAAATAGGATCTTAGGCAGCAGAATCGACCGCGTATCAGAAAGAATGCCCATCGGGACCGGACGGGATCTCCCAGAAAGCCGCCGACTCAGCACTCAGACACTGCTGACTCTAATTCCTCCCACTGCTAGC